AGCCATTTTGCAAACTCTAAAACCACGTGTGTGTGTGTGTGTGTTTATATATAAATTGTGCTGAGCCATTTTGCAAACTCTAAAACCACGTGTGTGTGTGTGTGTGTTTATATATAAATTGTGCTGAGCCATTTTGCAAACTCTAAAAACCACGTGTGTGTGTGTGTGTGTTTATATATAAACTGTACTGAGCCATTTTGCAAACCCTAAAACCACGTGTGTGTGTGTGTTAATATAAAAACTCTACTGAGCCATTTTGCAAACCTTAAAGCCACATGTATGTGTTTACCTAAAAAATAAAAAAAAAGACTAGGTAACAGACAATTACACATTTTACAAAGAATATTTTTGTTGAATTTTTCTTTTTCCCTTTTAAAGAGCATACACTTTAAGAGTTAATCATCACAAAGAAGTTAAAGACTACATAAGCTATGCTCTTGCTTCTTAAGGGGTATTATCTGTAAAATTTGGTATTCTGAACAGTATCGGATTAATGCATATGCCACGTAGGCCCAGGATGTACAGGGGCCCCGTCAGTCACCCAAGTAAAAATATTATGGTTCGTAAAACTAGCAGCATAGAGACAAGAGTGAATTATTATCATTCCCAAATATTAACTGGGCCCCACTAAACCTTAATCCGCCCCAATTCTGAATCTGACTAGGCAATCCCTACACTCTACTGTAACATGTTTGCACTTGTCTATATGGTGAAAAACAGACCATAAAATGACAATAATGCATTCCAGCTTAACTTTGTATTGCACTTATAAAACTACTTTAATAGAAGTATATCTACATTACAGGCCTTCTTGTCTAAATATGACATAGTGGTATGTACACAGCAAGCATCATTTAACCACCATGTCTGTTGATTGTGAAATGCAGGCTTCCATTCTGTAACAAAATCTATACCATAAACACTTGAAAACTGCACTTTTAAGCAATGTCAGCTGTTATCAGACTGTTCCCTAGTGGAGCTTAATGTGGCTTTAAGGTTTGGAAAATGGCTTGGTATAGTTTCTATATAAACACATACATGTGGCTTTAGGGTTTGGAAAATGGCTTGGTATATATAGTTTCTATATAAACACATACATGTGGCTTTAGGGTTTGGAAAATGGCTTGGTATAGTTTCTATATAAACACATACATGTGGTTTTAGGGTTTGGAAAATGGCTTGGTATAGTTTCTATATAAACACATACATGTGGCTTTAGGGTTTGGAAAAATGGCTTGGTATAGTTTCTATATAAACACATACATGTGGCTTTAGGGTTTGGAAAAATGGCTTGGTATAATTTTTGGATAAACACACACATGACTTTAGGGTTTGCAAAATGGCTCAGTAGAGTTTTTATATAAACACACACACACACACGTGGTTTTAGGGTTTGCAAAATGGCTCAGTACAGGTTATATATAAACACACACACATAGCTTTGTTTGCTAAATGACTCAGTACAGCACTATTTCTGTGCAGTTCTATTCACAAAGATTGTGTGTGTAAGAATATATGACAACATTTATATAAGGGGAGAAGGGGCTATATAATACAGTCATTGCAGATGTTTGGGTTTTTTTATCACTATTTCTGTGCAGTTCTATTCACAAAGATTGTGTGTGTAAGAATATATGACAACATTTATATAAGGGGAGAAGGGGCTATATAATACAGTCATTGCAGATGTTTGGGTTGTTTTTATCACTATTTCTGTGCAGTTCTATTCACAAAGATTGTGTGTGTAAGAATATATGACAACATTTATATAAGGGGAGAAGGGGCTATATAATACAGTCATTGCAGATGTTTGGGTTGTTT